CTGCCCTTTCCCCCTGCCTTTTTCAGGTCGCAACTTGAAGCTCCAGCCGTAAGTCGAAGCAAAATTTTGCAGCTGGAGCTGGTTGTAACTCGAAATGGCCATAAGGCGGGACGTTCATAAGTCGAGGCACCACTGTATAATATTAGCTCAGTAATGAAAGCAAAAGACTTTGTGGGAAAAAATAGAAAGAAATTGGGCCTGCAAAAGGGAAATAATCAGATAGAGACAACAGAAGAACAAACTAAAGGAATTATCGCAACAACAACACAACTGGATATTGATTCAGTTCTCTCATAGGCTCATGCAGATCAGCTCATGAATATGAATAGCATGAGTGATGTGGGCGATCGTCACAGAAGCTTTTACACAACCCAACCTTATGTCCATAAACAGACTGCTCAGATATAAAGAATTATTAAAAGGAAATTGTGAATTAAAAAGAAATGATGAGTTAGAAGAACAATATATATATAGAGAGAGATTGGTGGGCTAGAATACAACTGCAATCTAGATATGTAAAAGATAAAAAGGAGGGTTTTTATGAAGAACAAATACCCCTGGATAAAATACTATTAGAAACAGATGATAAATTGATTTTAAAAATGTATGAAATGTTATTAAAAATTAAGATGGAAGATGAAGTGGTAAAAGACTGTGCAAATGGGTGCAATATATTGATATTGATGATGGGAAAAACATGGACAATTAATATAAAAATTACAAAATCAGAAAACTTCAAAGAAAAATTATACAAAATGTTCTACAGATGGTACATGACACCAGATAAGTTGTATGTTGGAATGTATGTTGGAAATGTATGTTGGAAATGTAAATTACAAGTGGGGACCTTGTATCATGTGGTGGACATGTAGAGAAGCAAAATATTTTTGGATACTAATGCTGTACATGAATGTTTACAGAAAATTCTGCTACGTAATATACTATTTAAGCCAGAATTAGTCTTATTAAATATGTTGCCAGAGAGTTTAGATAGGAGAGAGAGCCATTTGGTGATACATATAATAACTGCAGCCAGAATACTATATGCATGGAAATGGAAGAAAACCGAGATACCAAATTGAGAAGAACTTGTGGAAAAGATTATGGAAGTGACAGAGATGGACATATTAACAGGAGCTTTAAAAACAATTCAATCCAAGAAGCAACTGAAAAATGGGACCCTATATATAACTGGATCTGTTCTATAACCTGAAAGCCAAATGTGATAATTTTAATACAAAATAGTTAAATAACTGTAGTTGGAATTATATAGGTAACTAACAGACACAAAAGTCTTTAATGGAATGATATGTTTAAGTCCAGAAATTATGCGATAATGTATAGCATGATATATTCCCTGTTATCCTGAGCTATTTTCCTTTACCCTTGAAATAAAATAAAATAAAATAAAAATAATCCCCCCCACCCTAACCTTTAGCTGCTTATAGGATTCAGGTAGCCACTTGTGTGCTTTTTCCTCTAACAACGGTTTAGGAGCAAATTTGAGGCACTTAATGGATTGCATTTTATATGCCAGAGGATGCCAACTGATGAGAAAGACTGGGTCTGTTTCCCCAACACATTTTTCTCACACTACTGCATTTTATTTGAACCTTAGGAAAAAGGTTAGAAAACTATTTCAGTGTGTTTAATTATTAGTCATATTCTTCACTTTGAGATTATGTTACTTTCTCCTGTGTGTTGAGGGCAAATATCACATGTTCCATAACTATGAAGCCAGTTGTGTGCTTAAGCACTCGTGCGAGCCATAAACAACAAGCAGCTTGTGAAGGCAATTGAATGGACTGTCGTGGGAGTGGGGTGGAATGTCCCATCCTTTCTTTTTTCCCCTACATGTAGAAACTGGGCAGGACCGTAGAGGAGGGAAGCCCCCCCCTCTGCCCAGTACAAAAGAGAAGTGGGCTGCCGCCAATGTGGTGGATCTGTTGGTCCCCCCTTTGCCAGTTTCTAGTAGGCTAGTAATTCTATTTGCAAGCTGTACAAAGTGTTTATTGCTTGGTGGTGCTAATACGATTAAACTTGGAAGCTAACTATTCCTAAAACATGTTGGATTATGCAACAAACTGCATGCTGTACTGTCAGGCCCTTGTCCTGAGAATACGGTGCTCTCTGGGAATGGCAAAGATACCGATCCCTGATGTAATCATGTGTACAGGCGCTTCAAAAAACAGGAAACAAAAATACTGTATTTATATAGTGCATTATATGCCCCAAATTTAAGTATTTTCAAGTTTCCGGGATGCCGGTGAAAGAAAGCAGAGTTTAGCATAAGTCATTTTGCTGTTTGAGGCAAAACAAAAATTGGGGCTCACCCTACCCCATGCCTGCATTCTGTGTACCAAAGTCAATTGGCCTGCAGTTGAATCTTACTTCAGCATTAGCAACGGGGTAAAGGTAAAGGTTCCCCTTGACAATTTTTGTCCAGTCGTGTTCGACTCTAGGGGGCGGTGCTCATCCCCGTTTCCAAGCCATAGAGCCAGCGTTTGTCCAAAGACAATCTTCCGTAGGAAACAAAAATACTGTATTTATATAGTGCATTATATGCCCCAAATTTAAGTATTTTCAAGTTTCCGGGATGCCGGTGAAAGAAAGCAGAGTTTAGCATAAGTCATTTTGCTGTTTGAGGCAAAACAAAAATTGGGGCTCACCCTACCCCATGCCTGCATTCTGTGTACCAAAGTCAATTGGCCTGCAGTTGAATCTTACTTCAGCATGAGCAACGGGGAGGTGCTCTCTGTTCCATTGATGGCAGTGTGCGATAGGCATAGGGCATGTCATGCATCACCCACAAGCTTTGTCCTCCAACAAGTCACATCTGCTTCCACCTCAACATCTGCCACTTGAAGTGGCCACTTTGATCTTCTTAATGATAGAGCCAGTCCTGGAAGAAAAGTAAGCATGGTGCAGACATGCCTCAGCCCGGGGAGGTGCTCTCTATTCCATTGATGGCAGTGTGCGATAGGCATAGGGCATGTCATGCATCACCCACAAGCTTTGTCCTCCAACAAGTCACATCTGCTTCCACCTCAACATCTGCCACTTGAAGTGGCCACTTTGATCTTCTTAATGATAGAGCCAGTCCTGGAAGAAAAGTAAGCATGGTGCAGACATGCCTCAGCCCTCCTGCCCCTAAATGTTTCTGTTTGACAGAACGTACTTCCCCCTGCCTGTTATGCAGGAGCTGCATTCTTATGTAGCTATACTTTCAACTATGAATTCCCATCATGGTGGATTAGAATGTTTATGGAACAGGATATCTTATCCAGATAGCAATAGCCTACCATCTTATGAAGTTCTGACATTCCTTTCTTATTAATACTGAAGTTGGACAGATGCTGAAGGGAAAGCATCCTTGGTCCTGCATATTAGTCAGAATGCTTTATTTAAACACACACACAAACAGATGATATCATTTCAATACTTGGAGTAGATATATAGAATTCAGTGGGTTGAAATGTAGGTAGATATAGATGGAAACTGAGTGAAAGGGCAAGAAACAAGGAAACTGTGTAGGAGGTATGAACATTTCAAAATGGAACACTCTGTTCAGCTAGAGATCTGCTAGTGTGAAGTGACTTGCCATCACTAGACATCTAATTAACTCTATAAACATCGAGCCAAATTCTAATTTCAGATATATGGGACTCAACTGAAGGAGAATCTGACATGTGCAGCTATATTCCTGAAGTCAGATAATAGCTTTCAAAGAGTTCCTGGAGTAGAATCTTTCCAGATCATGACCCAGCCATCACAATCCCATGGTTCCACTTATCTAGTTACAAAATGGTATTGTATTTCAGTGAGTGGTTTTAAATAGGTCACCTCCATGCAATACCACAGGATGACTTTTCCTCTACCTTTTCCTCTTTGATCAAATGCAATCACAATTGTATTGCCAAAAGACAGGGTTTCCACCCTCTTTAATCTAAAAAGTTGCAAGGAGAATAAATGTGTTTTTCTTTTAAATAAAGGTATTTGATCACTTCTGGGAGGCAGTGGAAAACAGGAAGGCCTAGCGTGCTCTGGTCCATGGGGTCATGAAGAGTCGGACACAATTTAATGATTAAACAAAAACAAATTTGATCATTCCTGTGGTCTACCTGTAGCATTATGTATGATTAACATTATGTTCTATAAGTCCTAAGTTAGTGTGTGTCCTGATATTAATTTACATTTCATACTATTTTTAGATATCTGAGCCTACTTTCAAATTGTCATGAAGCTCTATATAGCCTATTTAAAAGTTTTAAAGAAAATATTTTCCACTTAATTCAATAATTTTTGCAAAACACTATAGCATTCTGAAGATCCACCAGTAATGGGCTCACTATAAATGTTTATGTAACCTGCAGCCAATAATTGCTTGGCTCCTATAACTAGAATAAGGGCCTTTTATGCAAAAATGTTTGTAAAGCTTTAGAAACCTGGAAACATACCAGTAATTAAAATGGCCACCTAGTATGCTTTTTATTCTGTCTGCTAACTTTGTAGAGGTGAAGTGGGGGACAGGAAGATGTTTCAAATATTAAAGGAAAAGAATAAGTCAAAACACACACACACACACGCACGCACACACGAAGGAAGATGTTTCAAATATTAAATGAAATGAATAAGTCAAAACACACGCAGACACACACACACGGACACAGATCACTGATAAATGTTATTTTCATTTTTCTCATTCTTTTTTCTTCCTATAAAGGACATGCAGTGCAATGGGGGGCCTTAAACTTTTAATGAACAAGAATACACAGCAGCCAACCAAGTTCCTTATCCACACTCACAGTGTTGAAATCATCCCAAAAAGGATCTTGTTACTTTAGCTAGTAAACTATCAGAATAGTACTCTGAAAGAACAAGTAAATTCTTCTTCTTTTTCAAGAGGCCACAGTTCTCAAACCTCAGCTCTCAAACCTCTGTGTCCCTTATCGTGACTGGCATCCAGTATTTTATTCTGCAGTAACTGTTTTTTCTTTCAGAGTGTTCCACCTCCAGGAGAAGAAGAAAAGAAAAAGACCCTTCCAGGGGCCAAGAAGCTGCCAGGTCCTGCTGTTAACCTCTCAGAGATTCAGAATGTGAAGAGTGAGCTGAAATTTGTCCCAAGAGCTGAACAGTAACAGAAATAGAAAGGTAAGTACAAGATCAAGTGCTGTTCCAAACACAGGTTACACGTATATGATCCTGCCTTTGAAGATGGTCCAGACGCTTCAGTTAATTCTGAAAGCAGCTGCAAGATGGCTGACTGAGGCTGGGTGTTTTAATCAATTTGTGACAGTGCTTCACAAGCTACACTAGTTCCAGTTCAATCCAGAGTCCAATGGAAAGAGCTGGTGTTGACTGTTCTGGCCTTGACACCCAAAATCAACTGAGTGTGGCTGACTCAATGCTACTGAATGGTAGATGAGAACAACAAATTGTGAACAATTGAAACAAATCGATACTCAACTAAATGGACAAATCTCCATGGCTCCCTTTCAATCCACATGTTAGACCATCACAACCCTCTTTTTTCGCCCTCAGAATGCAGCTTGTGATCTAATTCAGGCAGTCACTAGGCAAAAATTGTCCCTTCGTTACACAAGGTACTACACAGAGTTCCTATGCTCTAACACCAGTTTTTCTACCCATGGGCGATATCCAGCCAGTGGTGCAGCTGGATGTTCAAATGCTATGTCCTCTCACTATGATGTCTTCTGTGATGGGTCAGGATGGCTGCTCATTGTCCTTGGAATGGAATAGGCAATTGTCTTCCCTTATTAGCTATTTCAGCTGCTGCCTCATTCTCTTTCACCTGGCTTTTTTCTATTCAGAAATAACATGAAAGCTAGAGGTACATCATGATGAACGTGAAGATAATGTATATAAGATTCTCATTGATCTGGCATCAACCAGTTGTGATGACTTTGTGTATAAACCTACAGCAATAATCTTTGTGCAGTGTCACGATCTACACATTTTATTCTCTGCTCTCTTTTCTGCTTCCTCTCATTCTGGCACACAGAGCAGCAAAACACCACGGCTGCAGTTCCTGTAGAAAGGTTCATTCAAGGTGCTTTATAGAGGGCAAGGCAGAGCTTGGGTACATCATTCTTGCCACTCCACCACAGGATCATGCTGTACCAATATATAAGCTCCCACTGCTTCAATTAAAGGATTAGTCTTTTTTTTTCTTTGCAAAAATTTGATAGAGTGGAAGAAGTACAATGCACAGGAAACTTCAAGGAGAATGTAATTAGAGACTTCTGGCTGAGAATATTATACTGTGCTACTTATTCTCTGTACATGGACATTGTGTGATCACTTTGATCCACAGAACTGAAGTCAAGGTATTATGGCAACAGGCACGGCTGAGAGAAAGCAGTGATAAATAATGCAAATAATTAACCTTAGAAACTGCACATACTTCTCAGCCCAAGGAGTCCTCCACATTCCTTCACGAAATGAAAGGCTAATTGTTCCCAAGAATGCAGAGTACAGCTCTTCTCTCTACTCACATTTCTCTTAGATTTGATAAAGCTGCATAAATTATGACCAATTAGACTGACAAAGTGATTTCAAATATCAAGACTTCAACCCAGTGATCAGACCAATTTATTTCTTACATGCTTTGCCTCCATCACTCCCTTTTGTAATGTTCCCATGACACCTGATAGGAGGCTACCTGCGCTGAAGAACAGTCTTAAGATATTCTTTCACTGTGTTGCTTTTAAAATCTCTTCAGTACTTTGAGTACAATTTCACTTGAGCTTGTTTTTATTGATTGCATTGCACCTGTTGGTATGAAACCTCTTATGTCCTCCAGGGGGATAACTGATAGAAAAAGGGGTCAGGGATTTCCCCTTGCTTGGTGTCACTTTGTGAATGTTTGTAGACCATCTTCACTGCTGCCATTGGTGTTGTTAACATTCAGGCTGCCCTTTGCTATGTAAAGCCTGGTATCCTTTTTCCTGCTGGCAACACAGGCACAACATCAGGCTGTTTCCTAGTTCTTTAAATCATGGATATAGAAGCACAATATCCCACATTCAAAAAACAGAGGTGTTTTGAAGAATTGAATTAGATTTTCCCCCTATAATTTAGGAAGAATTACACCTTGCCTGAGTGGGAAAGACTGGCAAGGTAATTTGTCTGCCTCCTGAGTCTGATGTCCAGATTCTTACTATTGATAGGCAATGTCAAGGTCACAGGTTCCCCCCTAAAATTCTTTCAGTTTTAAACAGAGTTGGATTAGAGAGGACACCTTCAAAAGAGGTATGTCTGGCAGCAATTCAAACAAAAGACTGTTTACTCCAAAAGAGGACATACAGCCACCTTAACTATAACAATATGGTGGCTAGAGATATAATTCAGTTCAACTGAAGTTTCAGTTTCCTAAAACCTGTGAGGCAGGGAGTCACATTGTCACTTCTGTGTCATTGTAGGAAACACTACTCTTATAAAAACACTTTCCCAAACCCTGTTGCTTAGCATAGCAAATCTCACTAGAGTGAGGTTCCCCTTGACATTTAGTCCAGTTAAATCCAACTCTAGGGCGTGTCCCCATCTCCAAGCTGTAGAGCCAGTGTTTGTCCATAGACAGATTCCGTGGTCATGTGGCCAGCGTGACTAGACACGGAATGCCATTACCTTCTCACTGTGGTGGTACCTATTTATCTACTTGCATTTACATGCTTTCGAACTGCTAGGTTGGCAGGAGTTGGGACAAGCGACGGGTGCTCACTCCATCGCGTGAATTCGATCTTACAACTGCTGGTCTTCTGAACTTGCAGCACAGAGGCTTCTGCAGTTTAACCTGCAGTGCCACCATGTCACTGCCTCACTAGAGTAGGCCCCCTGAATAAATGGGGATTTAGTGGGTAAACTGCTCCAAAAATTTATTGATTCAAATGGACCAATCCTTACTGCAATTTAACAATGCCTACAGTTAGAGTAGGCCCATTTAAATTAATGGAGCTTATGTGGGAATTGATTCACTAAATCTTTGTTGATTCAGTGGGTCTACTCTAATGCAATTGACTACATTAAGCAGTACGATTTTGGTCAGCATCTTTATTTATTTATTTATTTATTTATTTATTTATTTATTTATTTATTTATTTACTATCCCGCCTATCTGGTCTTCCGACCACTCTAGGCGGCTTCCAAATACATACATAAAACTACATATACATATAGCACACAAATTAAAAAAAAATTACATTTAATGACAAATTCTTCAAGATGGAAAATAAAATAAAAATAAAGAAAAAAGAAAGAAAAAGACCAGATATTGTCTGGAGGGAAGGCCTGCATGAACATCCATGCTTTTAATTGGTTTTTAAAGATACCCAGCGTAAGGTCCACATGAATCTCCGGAGAAAGATTGTTCCAGAGGTGAGGAGCTACCACCGAGAAGGCCAGGTTTCTTGTTTTTTCCTTCCGGGCCTCCCTCGGCATCAAGCTCCTCAGCCTCACCTCCTGACTCGCTCGGGTGATATGGGTAGACCCTGGTGGGAGTAGGCGTTCCACCAAATATCGAGGCCCTAAACCATTTAGGGCCTTATAAGTAAGCATTAAGACTTTGAAGTCAATGCGGAACCGAATGGGCAGGCAGTGTAGTGCGGCCAGAATAGGAGAAATATGATGGTATGTTCTCACTCCACTAAGGAGTCTGGCCGCTGCATACTGCACCACTTGGAGTTTCTGCATCAACCTCAAAGGTAGCCCCATGTAGAGCGCATTACAGTGGTCTAATCTTGAGATTACGAGCGCATGCACCAAGGTAGTGAGCACCCCTGTATCGAGATAGGGTCGCAGCCGGGCTATCCACCAAAGATGGAAAAAGGGGGTACAGACCACTGACGCCACCTGCGTTTCCATGGTGAGCGCTGGGTCCAGATGGAACCCCAAGCTGCGAAGCCCACTCTTTGAGGCAAGGGTCATCCCCCCAAATGAGAGAGAGTCACCCAAGCTGCCAACAGTGGGGGCACCCATCCTCAGGACCTCTGCCTTGTCTGGAAAGGTTACAAGAAATGTAAGCCCCTGTCCCTTTAGCATACACTAAACTAGGGAAAACTCAGGGCCACATTCATTGTTGAATTGAATGGAAATGGGTTTGGGGAATCGTGTTTGTATTCCTTTTGCCTTGAAAGGGCCTGTTGTTTGTCTTAGACAAGAAGTAAAGGCAGGACTTCAGCTTTTTTATATATTAAATCTTTCTCCATATTTGTTGCCTGTGTGGAATCCTTGTTCCAGATTGTGATTATGCCTAGCTTCACCATTCAAAGCTGTTCTGATGGTTTGAACAATAGCAACGGGAATAAGTGCACTTAGTGGGGAAACTCTCTCTTTCTTTCCAGATAAACGTACAAGAAGGAGAGTGGCTTGTCTGCATCTGTACTTTTTAATGCCTGTAACACTGGCTCCAAAAAAGCTAAATGAGAGCTTGTATCATACAAAGGAAAAGGGCAGAAAAGGCATCCCCAGCAGCAAGAGGGCTCTGGTTGGGCATGGAAAAGGAATGGATAGGAACTGACATTATCTTCAGTGACAGGGCCGGGCAAGCCAACTGTTTCTTTGAAATCAAACAAAATTCTATCTGCATGGATTTAAATATAAGAAGTGGCACATAGTGTGATAAATGGCTTCTTTCCTCAAAATCAAGACCAGACATAGTCTCATGGAAGGTGACCTTCTGGTGCCATTCCTGTTCTTGGCACTTCTGAAAAGCCTTTCGGGATTCACTGGACAGTGAGGTATGGGCTAAAATGGACTAGCGTGGGAAGAGGGATTTCTAGCTACATTACCCCCTTGATGATCTGGAGAAGAAGGAGGATGAAAGGGGGAATTCTTTCTTTGTAAGCTATTTCCCAGTCATAGTTCTCAGCAACTGAGGCAATAAATGTAAATACACAATCTCATCTACACTTGAAGATCCAAAGGATGAAGACCAGTATCCTCATCATCATACTTACACGAGGTTGAAATTATGTAAGCAGCTATGGCTGTTCTCCAAGGTTTTGGTTCTGCAACCTTTTATATGAGCAGCATCTTGCCAAACAGCCATGACAACTGCCTCAGCTTCAGCTCCGTGCATAATAAAACCCAAGAGGATTTTGATCAAAATCTTTGACAGTTCAAAAGATAATACA